TGAGTTTTATAGGGCGCAATGGAACGATTTCTTGGCCTGCTCGTTCGTTGATATATCATGATGGAAGAACTATCCAGCCTATTGAATTTTATTTTTGAAGCTTGTATAGAGTCGTTGATTCGCCGAGCAACATTTTGCGTTAATCGAGCAAACGGGGATAATTTTTAACAGTTTTTGTAAAAATGGTAAACGTTTAACTTTTTAATGATTTTTTTAAAATAATTTTCAATAATATAAACTAACTATCTTATTATTCAACTTTTATATATGTACTTTTTTGTATATCAACTTCTTCTGACGAGTTCTACGACCTGTTAAAATAAATGACTCAACTTTGAAAACAACCTGTATGACCCAGTATATACTTGGGTACCGAAAAAGAAGAGAACAGAAAATCAAACTGGTTTCACCATTACTATTATACTTTGAACTTTGAATGACTGTAAATCCAGAAATTATTTGTAATTTGAAGGATATGATAAAGAAAAAATGTTCATCATGACCCATTCTAGGTACGCCACTGAAATTATGTATCATTGTTTCACCTTATCACTGACTTAGGTATATCTAATTCTTAAATTGTGGTCAACATATGTTTGGCATACCACGATAGTAATATACAGGGTGGCGCATCGAAATCGAAACAGACGCATTTACTGGCAGCTCAGTTTTTTTTTTGAAAAACGCTCAGATCCGTCGATTTTGTTTTCGAGGGGGACACAAGTTTGGCAAAAAATCACGTTAGCACGTGCAGCCCCCTAAGCGGGGGTGAAACCACCCTCAAAATCTTAAATGGAAAGGGGGTCGAGAGATACCTTATTTTAAAGGTCTTTCAATTCCCTTTATAATGATATAAAATTAATGTACTTCAGTTCAATAGTTTTGGAGATTTATCGATTTAAAGCTTAAATAAAACTAATACATCATCATTAGTGGAGATCAATACATTTGTACAGCAAAGTAATTTAAAAATGAAGAATGAACTGACCCGTTAGGCATGTAAATGTTGAAAATGGCCACCATGACTCTCCATGCAATAATAAAGATTTTGCTCAAAACGTTGCCGCACATTTTGCAATATTTGAGTAGTAATTTTAAGGCACTCATTCACAATTCTTTGTCGCAGGTCTTCTAATGAGGTTGGCTGAGTAGCATAGAATTTGCTTTTTAAATGGCTTCACATAAAGAAATCCAAAGGTGCTAAATCTGGCGATCTTGGGGGCCAATTCAATGGCACCTCTTGTACCAATCTATCGATCTGGAAACGTCTGATCTAAATATTGTCGAACCCGTAATGCGTAATGTGGTGGGACACCATCCTGTTGGAACATCAACCTATTCGCAATGAACCGCCGATCATTCTGATTTTCAATTATGGCTGTTAATGCAGGGTCTATGGCATCTTCCAGTAATTCCAAATACATTTCACCGGTCAAATTTCCAGGTAAGAAAAAAGGGCCAATTAAATGATCGCCAAAAATACCAGCCCAAACATTTAATTTTTGTGGCTGTTGTGTATGAACCTCATGATAAATTCTGGGATTAGAATCGGACCAATATCGGCAGTTATGACGATTTACTAGGCCATTTAAGAAAAAGGAACATTCGTCGGAAAAGCAAGTGTTGAATAGAAAATGTTCATCGTTTATAATTCGTTCAGTCATGTCTTCACAAAATTGTAATCGCCGATCAAAATCCTCTTCATTAGGTTCTTGTACCAAGTGAATTTTATACGGATTAAAACTATGGGCCTTTAGAATGCGTTGGACAGTACGTCGACTAACACCACACACAGTCTCCAATTTGCGGGTACTTAACGTAGGATCTACATAAACTTGCCCTAAAACCCCCACTTCTATTGCTTCGTTCCTTATGGGATTTTCAATGTTGCGTTTTTTATTGGCGACTGACCCAGTTTCCCGAAATTTAGCTACAAGTTCTAGAACATATATTCGATGCACGTTACTGTTCTCATGTCGCTCATTAAATATTTCTGCTGTTCTGATTATTTCCTAAAAATATTTCGATAATCTCGATAAACTTCGATAAACTCTTTCTGCTGTGGAATATACTCGTACCATGGTTAATTTATGTAATAAAGCGTTACAAGTTATCTTAGTAACAAAGTTTCGTCAAATCAATCGCAAACTATGTACTAAATTCCTATTTAAAATAAGTACGAGATATTTCCTTATCTTTCTTCAAGAAATAACTTTTTTGCCACAAAAAAACGCTCCAATAGCAATTTTCAACAACAAAATGATAAACAAACCATGGGCGTAGTGAAGAAAAGCATTTATTTATTAAGTAAATTGTTTTAGTCAAATTTCTTCTGAAAGTAGTACAAACTAATCTGATGTACCTATTAAAGTCTACTTTAAGCTTTAAATCAATAAATCTTCAAAACTACTGAACTGAAGCTCATGTATTTTACATAATTATAAAGGGAATTGAAAGACCTTTAAAATAAGGTATCACACGACCCCCCTTTCCATTTAAGATTTTAGGGTTGGTGTCACCCCCGCCCCGGGGGCTGCACGTGTTAACGTGATTTTTTGCCAAACTTGTGTCCCCCTCGAAAACAATATCGACGGGTCTGAGCTGCCAGTAAATGCATCTGTTTCGTTTTCGATGCGCCGATGTGAGTGGAATGTAACTATACGTACAATGTAGATTTTTATAGATGAATAAACGCAATCGGTGACAGCAAGAACATCTTCCTAAAACGATTTTATCGATACCGAGTCGTCTTATGAGTGACTTTCGGCAGCGTCACCGTAGCCGCCGCGTCTCTTCGTTGGGTTTTCAACCCGTCAAGCATTATAAACACATCTGTCTGCGATGACCATACGAACTAGATAATACTGGCAACAACCATACGAACTCGCCACGTAGAACGGCCGTGTATTACGATTTCGAATCTTGTGCTGACATCTAGCGGATATCCGTCTCATCAGAGTATTGCACCTATCCTCTTATGGCGTAATGAGCGAAATGGCGACAAGTAGGTTGACTCTGCACTTTTTACGCAACGCCGTCATAAATTCATAAATGATAAGTTCAGCGCAATTTAAATTCCCTGAGAAAAAAGTCAGGTACGAACATGTACAACAGAGAAATTAAACGTATTCAGTCAGTCAAACAGGCCCATACAATTAGTCCATAGACATTCTTCTCCTGCCCTACAGGTAATTACTGTCCAACTGGGAACATTGTCCCTTCGGGGTATTGCTACAGCCTCTATCCTCGAATTTCAATCTCTACAAAAAATTTTTTGTGAATGATCAGGAGCCTCTCAAACTACCAAGCTTTTCCGTCCTTGGTATAGTAGCAGCCTTGTATGAGGATTTATGAAAATACGATTGGCACTTCCTAAGTTATACACTGGCCAAGGGTTAGCGAAAATACAGACAGAGATACCGACAGACAGGCAGATCGACAGAAATCAGGGACATGGTTTCTCATGATGTACGTGACATATAGCTTGGGTGAGGATAATGTTTAAACAAAAAAGTACACTTTTAAGGAAAATCACCACTGATACTTGGAACAATTTTTTGTCTAAATCTAACACATTTTTAACCAAACAAAATAAAGGTATTTAAGTTTTAGTGTAATACAGATGCAACAGCAATATAACAAAGATTTTAAAAAATAAGTACGTAAATATTTCAAAGTTAATTTTCCTTTGACGTGCTAGCTTGACCATCCGGATCTTCATTTTGGTACCAGTCGTGCTGTAGTGAACTATGAATTGCCTTTAAAATTTGTGGTTTACCCTTTAGAAAATGAAACATTCCGATGCAAGTATCATTAAAGTTTGTGTAGACTTGCATAGTGGCTTCTAGAGTAGCTGCGATTTTTCAGAGCTCCAATATATATTAATATTTGGAAATAACCTCTCAATTGACGCACTGATTCCAGGCAGACAAAAAACAAACTCACATAAAATGTTCACATTTTTCAATGCATTTTCTGTTTGGAAAACTTCTAGCCATCGATCTTCAGTAGAAATATTTCTTAAACTCCAGTCAGCAATTTTGTTTTCTGAAACGTTCGTTTGTATTAGACTAACTTCATCGAACAGTTCGTCCTGATTGAACATCGGACCTATGTAGTCCTTAAAAGCCTCACACGAACATAAAATACCCGCCCAAGGAACTTGTCTTCTCAGGTTAGCCCGCCCAAAAAGCTTTAGATCACTTAAATTTTAACTCCAAAAAGTACATTTAGGCGTACTTGATGAACTCAAAGGGACAGCAGTACAGAGTTCGAAAAGAAAGTAGTGACCTACTAAAAAAATGTACCCAAAAAGCACAATATCTCATTTTCGAAATGTTTCGCGATTACAATCGACCAGTCGCGTAGGAAGTAAAAGCTCTCGTTTAAAAACATAAGACGAAGGAGCTTGATTATCGTTTGGAGTATGGCATATTTCCAAGCGGATGCATTATTTTTAAAATATTGGTTTGTTTTACTAGCAGCTAAAAGGAACTTGGTTTTAAAAACTTTTTTTTTTCATTCATTCAAATCTCCAGTTCAGATGTTTCATTTTCAAGATTTTTGATAGACAGACCGAAGAACCTTCGACCAACGTAGACGTAACGTACTTGTCACTTTATTTGACAGCCCAAACGAGCGCGTAAACCTGATGTATTTATATTGGTTAAGATATGGGAAACATTTTGTCTAAAATGAGCTTTTTGCACGAAGCCTTTCTTATACCTCAATGAAATTTTTTGCAGTTTCATAACGAAATTCCAAAAAATAAAACATGCTACCTAACACTTTTTACTAACCTGACAAGGGTGACAATTCCTCATTATCCAACATGCTCCCTCCCGTTTTTCATAATTGTCTGAACGCAAAAAATATTTGAAATTCAAATTTACTGCAGCGTTTAAAACTAGAAACTCGTGTGAAAAGTGATTTAGCCTGAGATTCTGGTTTGTTACGTAATGTTGAAAATTGTTCACGATCAAATAAATTGTTCGAGTAGTTGATAAATAATATAGATACAAAGTAATTATATGGTTGTACGTTGAGGATTGGAATTATAAATTCAAATAAAGATGGTTATTGATGCTTACATCCAAATGCATTTTGTGTATACAAGGGAGACTCGTACACTTCGGGCGAGAAGGTAAAGTGCAATAACTGTTAAGCTTTTTTGCGATGAGCTTTATCAATATTTTATGAACCTGTGCCTTTATTTGTTTGTCAGTTCATCTGATGTTGTTTTCACAACATAATCTTGGTATCTTCTGCACTGTTCTCTATATGATAGAACACTTACGGGTATTTGTGCATATTAATAAATTTGTCAAATTCTTTGTTTGGTCACATTCACATAGCACTCAAGGCAACATCTAATTTTGTAGGTACTATATTACCTATATTTTTTTGGAATATTGTTTCACCTTATTCTTGACTTGGTTCATAACCAGAAGTTTTTCAAAATTATACTTACTAGTATCTTTGAATCCCTCGTAGGCATGGTCACGCACAAACACAATATATAAGCGTCTAATACCGGATATCATTATCGCAATAATCACTTGTTCAACAGTATACACCGTTTCCAATTTTTTACAATGAAGACCTTCCTCCGACTTTTCGTAACATGTGCCATGCTATTCAACGTTATCCAAGTAGAAGCCCTGACTTGCGCTGCACCAAAATGTGACGGAATTCTTTGCTCACCTCCAAAATGTTCACCGCCTGACAGTCTACAAACGGACCCTTGCCATTGCTGCCCTTATTGTGCAGAAGAGCCACTAGTTTAAAAGTAAGTTTTCTATTTTCAGGTAACATTGGAGGATTCTTGATAAATAAACTCAAGGGCTTACGGCAATAAGGTACTTGAGTCAGATTTGAATAAAAAACAGTGGCTTTGCTTGCTGCTCAGGGGCCAAAATTTGTATGAGAGAGGTACCCAACTATGTCGAATCCCAAATGGAGGGTAACATTTGAATAATTTTACAAAAGAAACAGACGCTTGTATTGAATAATATAAAGTGTCACGTATTGACTATGGGCGCCTGCAGGAAGTTTTTCCAGTAAAAGGGGGTGTATCATGGGCAAGAGATAACTTTCTGTAAAAATGTACCTATCCTCAAAACTTATTGAAGAGCGAGTGGTACTGCGAATGCGAAAATTCTGGGGTCATCGTTGGTAATGTTATCCAATTTTGAAAATCGCTTATATGACAGTGGTATTATGAGTAAAAATTGAAATAGCTTTCAGATCGTCCAAAGGTTTGTTGTTGTATCCTTTACAACTTTCTGGACATCTTTAAGGGTATTTAAACATCTTTGTAAAGCGGTTACAGTTTTTAAAAATCTAGAAATTTTGCTTTTATTGATGCTTCAGTTTAGGGCATTTTCACAAACGTTATGGAGTTCAAACATTTTGTTTCATGTAAAATTTGAAATTTGAATGCTTAGGAAGTACCGAGTCAATCTACTCGTCACTATTTTTATCCGATTTTTTTTATGCAACCATCCATAGCGGAAGATGATTTAGTGTTTCAAAATGTTTAGCCTCTGAAGACAGTACCATGCTTGATAGTCAAACTTGCCTTATATGAAGTCTTAAAATATTTCAACCATGTACTTTTAATTTCGAAAAGCTTGTCTCATCTGTTGCTGTTGTAATCTAGAGGGTTGAAATAGGAAACATGCTACTATTACCTAGCCGCACAATCTAAGGATTAGCGCTTCAGAATTCTCAATTTAGCGTACGGCATAAAAGCCTACGTCAGACTGTGAAATAGTTATTTACCTAACAAGTGCGGAAAGTAACTTTTAACGCAGTGAGAAAATAATCAAGGATTTTAAATACGTACATGTTTTAATAGATATTTAATAATTGTAAAATCAACATCATCAACAACATCATCAATAAATCATCATGCGTGCGGAAAAATGCTACTTTCTGCACGCACATGCGTATTGAAAGTTCACGCTGGTAGAAAAAACACTTTACGCATTTTTTTAGATGGGGCCCTCTGTAGTGGTGTGTGTGTGCCTAATATAAGTGCTCTAGATAAGAAAAGAATTCTGAGTATCATTTCCCCTCGTAAGTTAAGTTATGCATCGAAGTATCATATAAATGATGAATCGCAAAACAATCAACTTGTTATTGTTTTTCTGACTCCGAGCGATAAAGTGATTGAAAAATGAAGACGTATTTCATAATCTTCGTTGCTACGTGTGTATTGGTGGGCAATTTGGTTGAAATCGAAGCTTCTTGCGCTGAGCCAAAATGCGAAGGCATTCAATGTGCACCTGTGAAATGCACTCTTCCTGAGAAGGAGCATAGAGATCCTTGTCGGTGCTGCCCTTTTTGCGCGGATAATCCACCTGCCTAGTAAGTTTTTCTCATTTGAGTTGTTTTTAGAAGGAAATACTATGATCGTGAATTTTCGAATTCTAGGATCATTTCTTCAGAATTTTTGTCTTTGAATCTTTCTTCCGCCAGTAAGAGACGTTCTATGATCTATAAGCTTTTACTTCGTACGCCACTGGACGTGGAAGTATCGTAATCGTGAAAAATTTTGAAAATGAGATATGTTTTTTGGATATTATGACATCTACTTCGTGAAAAATCATGTCACTTATCGATCTGTCGGTCTGTCCTTGCCCCTCTATATCTTGTGAAGTACTGCTCGGTTTTGGATGACACAAGCTTTGTAGTTTTTGAAAATCGGTCCAGTGGCGGCGGAGATAAAGACCAAAAACGGAAAAATAAAGATTGCTCAAAAGGCATTTCTTGACGTTTCAGAGAATTTACTTTCAAGGGTAAGAAATTAGGAGGCGGCGGGTTGTAAGGCTGGTAACCCCGGTATTTCTACGTACTTCTTAGCCATATTACACATCATCGGTTTCCCCGTACATTTTTATATTAAAACTTAGAATGATAGAGACATGTGTTCGATACGCGTCTCCTTCTGCTATTTGGTCTCAGCGCCCGGCATTACCATCTGATTGATTGTATCACTGCGGCGTTGTTTCGGTGGGCGCCGCTGCGTCTTACGATATCGGAAGGCGGAACGTCGCCAGATGGATGGTAACTACCGGTAGGGCAAGGAAAGGATGTCTATGGACTAGTTGACTGACTTGATGACCTTAATTTCTTCATTGTACATGTTAGTAAATATATTTCTCAGAGGTTTTGACGCCATTTTTCTTTCTGTCACAGGTTACACGACTTGATGACAAAACATCGATGTAAGTTGGCTGCTATCAATTTTTTTAAATATCATGATGTACTAATTGTTATATGTTTATAATATTCATAATATACCTTATACATATCGTCTGTTTATTGTCAGTCATCACAGAATGAGTTGCCAGAGTGAAAGTAATTCAAATTTTCAATAAAAGGAGATATGATGGCTAGGGATGCAAACTTTTTATAAATATCGATATATCGATATCGATATATATCGAATTAAATCGATATCGATCTATCGATATACCGATCTATGAAGCCGATATATCGATATTTCATATTTTTTTGGAAGCTTACAGAAATTAGAAATCCAATGTTCTTTCAGTTATATCAAACAGTTATCGATTATGTATATATATAAATTTTTATACTTATGTATGTGAAGTGAAACAAAATTCGGATAGGTATATAAAATGTGTTTTTCTTTCCATACATTTATTTGGGAAAATTAATTCCAGTATTTTGTACTAGCTATTGAACTTTAAAATAGTAACTTTGACAGTCTGCTTCCTTGTAGCCGGTTTCTGCTCTGAGTTATAGTGGCTCCTGCTTTTGAAAAAATACGTTCGGAAGGAACGTTTGTTGCCACAATTGGTAGATGACTCATTGCCACTTTAAAAAGATTAGGATATACACCTTGCATCTATTGCCATATTTCAATAATGTTTACTTTTAGAGTATTTACAGGGGCAGAAAGATATAACGTGAGCTCGTCGTCACCGTCAGTTTTTTTTCTTTTTATTTGCGTGTGAGCCAAAGATTTATGGTGCTACCAAAAATCAAATTCACTTTTATCTTCATCCTCTGAAGATGGTGATGAACCTGTTGCGGCTGCGGCTGCAGATTTATATTCTGAAATTAATTTTCTAATTTTTGAAATCGTTTTTGCACATGCATCAGGTTTCTTAAAAGGCAAGTTTTTGAAGCGATGGTCCTAGCAACGTCGAAATTGCTATTAATATATTGTATTCCAACTGGCCAAAACGCTTCTCCATTTCCAGAGTAATATGTTTCTTCAAATCGCCGGCAATGCTTGAAGTGATTCATTGTATTGGTCAATTGCACAACTCACCATAGGCACAACTTTTGAAATAGTGACATAATAGCTTCCAGTGGTCGCAGAACATGCGTCACATCTTTGCGTTTTACCCGATTTTGTGGGTATTTTAATTTGGGTTGGTTTTTCGATATTTTGATATGATATATTGAATTTTTCGATATCGATAAATATCGATATTTTTAGTTGTCGATATATCGATATTTATCGGTTTTCCGATATATCGTTGCATCCCTAATGATGGCGTCTCTTCCATATTTTTTTATGTGAACGAGATATTTGGCCCCATTTCAATGTACGAAATGAAAAAATTTAAGTAAGATGCATTTTGACATATTATAGGAAACAAATAAATAAATATGAACAATCTATTTTGAGTACATCCCATAACTATTGTAATTTCCAAGACTGGTTTGCTGAAATTGAATAGTCATTAGGTGATAGTACTATATAGTGGCCCGCATCTATCGAGTATGAATGAAACGCAGTTTGTACTGAGTACTTGACATATATTTCAGCAAAATTGGTTCTAGAAGAATCCACAGTTATAACTAAGGAATAAATATGGTTAGCCTGAAATATTTACAATATCATTGCATTGGTAACTACACTAATAGTAACTAGCAGTATATTTAATTCGACGTTTGAGATCAACTTTTACATATATGATAACACTTAGCCTAATGTATCAACTACTCGAATCCGAGAGAAACATTTTATTGAAAACTATAATGAAAAAAGTACTTTACTAATTTTGTATTTTTTGACTTCATGGTTGTGAACCTGACAAGCCACATTCTTTGAAATCATGATTTTATGACCTACAGGTAAGCTAAGAATAGGTGATTACGTATACATGTTTAAGTTATCCTTAAAGGAAATGGCAGCTGATGATATAAACCTAATGACTAGCAGTATACAAGCACTACTTCTATTTTTGCCAAGCATTTACTCAAAACCGAGTGAATTCTCTTCAATATTTGGCTTGTTTAGTCAAACTTAAAATGTAATTCTTAGTCAAAATCTTTATGTCTTCAATAAAACACGTTTTGTAGATTTTTGGTGCGTGCGCTTCACGACCTTCTCCAATTTTTAACTGGTAATTCTAATCGTTTCCAAGCTCTGATGCGACATCGTACGCCATTTCTCTAGCAGACTGCTTGATCCATCCATCAAAACTAGATACCCTGGTATAGACCCCAGGTTTATTTCTTTTGGCACACCCTTCTCCCCACGACACTATGCCTGCTACCTCCCATCGACCATTTTGCTCACACATCTGAAAAAAAACGCATAAATAATTAAGCTAGCCCTATAAATAAGGCAAGAAAGGTACCTATATCAACGATATACGAGTAAAAGAGAATATACGAGTAGCACAAACATGAAATACAATTTTTTACCTAAAAAATCATTCCTAATATCCCTATCCCTAAACCATTGCGACTTTGTTTCTGCAGAAAACTAGCAACTTACAATAAATAATAAATTATTATTAGTAATACTCGTAATATAGTACTAGGTGTTAAAGGAAAAAGCAGATACGGCAGGCAAAACCAAAAGAAAAAAGTGCATATAAAAAAACTCCAGAAAGTACATTTAAACTGAGTGACTTTTTCTGAAAACTTTACTGTCTCTGCAGTTTTTTGTGACGTCCGTTGAAAAAGTGCCAACCTAATTACTTAATATTGGAAACAGGTTACCAGTTAATAAAATAATTTTTATTTTTATGACGAAAAAACTCCAAGAGACAGTTTTTCACTAGAGTCAGCTTGGCTTTAAGGATACTATTTTTTTTGCAAAAGCCAATGGTGCATTGTTTTTTGGTTTAATGGCAAGAGCGCCACTCATGGAAGTGCTGAAAAACTGCGTATTATAAAGAGCAAAAAAACCCAGTAAATAAAAATATTCGGTTTTTCCGTCCACCCATATTCGCTTGTTTGCCACTCCGTACTGATAATTGCTTGAAAGCATGAAACTACGTTGTATGCGGTTCGTTATGGTCACAGAGATGGAAAGCAAACAGATCCTATTCACCCTGTATACCTACCAGGGGTCCTCCTGAGTCTCCTCCACATGCATCAACACCTCCTTTGATATACCCAGCACACAGCATAGAGTCCAAGATCTGTTGAGTTTTTCCTCCATAGAAACCTTTCTTCCGGCATGTATCAAGTGGGACAACTGGCACAGCAGCAACCTGAAAAAAGATACAAATGAATAAATAACTTAAAACGATTTTTAAGCATTTTATCACTACCACTGTTAACGTACGTTTTCAATATAACATGTTGTTTGGCGTGCATGTTGTTTTATACATGTTGCACCAGGTCTGTGAATTAAGTAATGAGACTGACAATGTAGCGTTAGATCTGGCAATACTGGAGGAACCGGGCTTGGGGAGGAGACATGGGAACATGTGATCCTCCAACAGTACAAGTTTGAACTCGACCTAGTCGTTTGGTTGTCCGTAGCATTTTTTTGTGAAACAGTTTTTTCTACTGTATTCTAAAGCAGTTTCATCAATTTCATGCAGTGGTGTGCTATCAGGTGTTGCTTCAGGCTTGAGGACAGTGCAACTTACTAAACAGGCCTACGGATATGGTGTTTTTCGGTGGTTTGAGGCATTTTCAGAAGGGAGAGAGTCGATTAACGACAAACCACGAAGCGGAAGGCCTTCATCTGCAAGAAGAGATGAAAATATCCTCAGAATCAGGGATCTTCTGCGTTCAGATCGCCGGTTGACAGTCAGAATGATCAGGAAGTTAAATTTGACACAGATCACCGTTCATCAGATCAAGAACAACTGGGTGTAGTAAAAACGAGCTTTTGTCCAATAAAAACATTCCTGTGGCACCTCAGCCTCTTTATTCGCCTGACTTGAGTCCTTGTCAGTTTTTTCTCTTTCCGAAGTTGGAAAATCACCTCAAGGGAGCCCGTTTTAGGACAATGGAAAACATTCAAACGGCTGTAACAGACGAGCTGAAGGCTATTCCAGTATCCATGTGGGGGGTACTGAAGCAACCTACTTGGTTCCACTTTTTTCTATTTAGTTCTCATATGAGTCTCAAAAAAAAATTCGTCGTTTCGCAAAAGTGTGTGCCTATAAACAAAGAAAGTCATAGCGTCTCTTGAAAAAACACCGTATTTTTTTGCGGAGATAGTGATGGTGACTAGCCCACATCCGCCATCAGACTGTCAAAATATGACACTGAGAGTTTTTGTGAATTAACTTTAACACATTCGGGCAGAATCCTAGGATTTTATACACTTCAATACGGATTATATAATCTCTTTCATGTGTTGTGCCTCATGAATTCCAAAAATTACTTTACCCCCACTGCTCCGAGTCTATCATTTTACTAAAATATTCCCGTCTTTCTAACAAGCACTTTCTGACTATCAGAGACTATAATACAGTCATCCATACAAATTAATGATATGATGTTGCCTTGCAATGAGCTGCTCTGATCTGGTCTGCTATATTCGATGGTTCGGGCTAACGGAAATTCATTGTTGGAAAGAACCGATAAGTCCGAACGCTTGACGCTGTAAACGGCGGTGCACACAACATGCCGTAGGCGTTCGCTTCCGTGTTGGAGGCTGAACATTGTACTATGGAGTTTACCTGGGTGTAGCTTCTGGATGACCAATTTTATGAATGTATTCTTCATGGTTTGTCTGTGAGATGCCGTCGTCTAAACCTGTACCGCGTTGTGTCGACGTCATCCGACACGTACACACATGCTAAATTACGCTACGTTTATGACACGATCATATTATGATCCAAATACAGTGGAAGATAGCCTAAAATAAATGATGGAAGATTCTTACTTTGAGAACTGGTGATAGCACTTCTGCATTATCGGGGTCCACGGCTCCCCATCCTGAGACCTCGCACCAAGTGCCAGGCTGCAATACCGAATGGTCTCTGGACAGACATGCTGGAGAGATGAACCTGTTCAGCTTAAAGCCTGGTTCAGGCACCAATAGCAGTGCCAGATCATGGGAATAGGGACCCAGCTTCCTGAAATCTGGATGAGGCAGGAACCGCTCTACCTTGAGGACTTGTTCGTATGGAGAGGAACCTGCAAACAAGAAGAAAATAAAAAGAAAAGCATTCAGGTATCGTGTCCTCAAATTGTGCACCACAGTAACATTTTCATCTTACGTCAAAATCAACAAGTGGAGTTCTTTTACAGAGTTTTAACAAGAGTCAGAACTAACCCGGAGGTCCATGTGCTCCTGCAACTGCTTTGAGCCCTGCACTGTAGCAATGAGCTGCCGTTAATATCAACCTGCTGCTTATTAGTGCTCCACCACATTGATGAGTATTATCCTGAAGTCGCAGATCTATCTGAAAAATAATTGTTACAATATATACAAGTTGGCCAAGATAAGGGTGCTATGATTAGGTTAAATTAGGAAAAAATCTTTTGTGCGTAATCACATGCCGTTGAAAAACTTAAAAAGTAGTGAGAATTTCGTGGCTCACTGAAATTTGGCCAAACCATTTTTATTTTTTCTGGCTTTACTTCAAGAAATATCAAAAAACTAATGAAACCCTTCTATTGACACTTTTTATAGGCACTACATGATGGTGTTTTTAAATTTTGAGCGTTCGTTTTTGAGAAACCATCATCAACTTTATTTTTTATACGGTCAGAAAAAAATACACCCTGAATCAAATAGCATTTTCCTATACGCATTCAACGATGTTATCACATTTTCTCGATTTTAAATGAAAATTCATTTTTTTCTGTTTTTTTTTTGTATTCTTCCTAAGTAGGTGTTGCTCACAAATGCTTGAATGGATTAATACCTGTACCGAGTATTGTTATTATTGTGTAATTTTAATACTGCTTCATTATCGTCAAAGATGCCAGGCCAGTTTAGCAATGAAGAAAAATTCGGCATGCTGACGTTCTACATTTTATGCTGCAAAAATACTGCGGAAGTATATCTTGACAAATTTACTGAAACAAGGCAGCCGAGTAAGTTCATTTTCATATGGTTGGCTCGAAATTTTAATAAACATGGTCCCTTCAAAAATCCTATTACTCTCTGTTAAGGTCAGAATAGTGTCTTACCAGTAGCTGTTGAGAACTCTGAGAAATTGAGACAAATGTAGGAGTAGCCAAATCCACAGCCCAATTTATTTGGCGTAAATAGATTTCACTTCTATAAATTTAAGATTTGGTAAGACTTGGACAGAGGAAGGCGAACGGCGTGAGTGGAACACACGAACGTGTGAAGATTTTAATTTCCTTTCAGAAATAACATGGTCCGACGAGATATGGTCACTAATCTTTAATCCTGCAACACTTAGTTAATATGTAGTGTGGAATTCTAGGGACAAGATAATCAGGTCCATTTATTTACCATTAACAGTAGAACGGTAGAATTCAGTTGTTGCAACATGATCTAGGAGACTGCCTGGATAACTTACGTTTGGCACAGGTTAATAGCTGTTGGTTCCAGCAATACGGTGCTCCCGCACATAACTCCAGACAAGTTCGGAAGTATCTTTCTCAGTGATTTCCCGGAAGGTGGATTGGAACCACCAGTAAAGTCTTGTGGTCAGCGCGTTTTCCGGATCTCTGAACTTTTTTTGTTTGGGGTTTTATTAAAATCCACGTTTATCAGCATACCTTTGTAACTGAGCAGCAGTTACGAGAATTAGTAATGGGGGCATTTAGTATGATTGAATTATACTGTTAGAAGATCATATTTTTGTTTAGAAAATAATGGCAACTTGTTTTAAATAAAATGAAAATAATGTTAAAAATGTATTCGTTCTTCTGAATATCACTGGATTAAGCATCATTTTATAAACACTTACCCCATCGTATCATTATGTAATATGTAATGTGCATCTTATTGAGAACGACTATCGTAGACCGCAAATAATTTTAATACGTGCCGTAATTTTGCGATGAGTGGCTTACTGCTATTTTTGACCAAATACATTTATCTGTGTGGATTATGACCTTCAGTCCTCAGTCACATTCATAATTTTTTCGAAATAGAGAAAACAGTCCTAATGGAAAAACAAATTTTACGTATTTGGCTCCATATCTATTACAGAAAAGACCTAAATAAAGAGGCAATTTTAATGAAGTGTGCTGTTATATAGTAAGTCTAACGATGAACACTCATATTATACCGGGTGTCTGCGAAAGGTTAGGAATTCTTGAAACTGGAGATACTACACACCAAAATATGTGAATTAACCTAAACATACCTAGTCCAAAAGTTGATAGTTTGAGAGATACAGGGTGTCAAAGTTACAATTTAATTTTCTATTTTTCCTGTAAAAGTGTAAACCTATTGTAGCATTTCAATCGAAATTAAGCAAGAAACATGATTTCAGGATTTAAATAAAAGTTATCACTTTAGATTTGTCGAAATAAGGTCAATGTGGTGGTGGTGGTGCTTTTAGCACAGTCCACGAAGCCATGGCACCACTGAGACAACAATTCGATTAGTCAATTCCTTGTTTCTAGATGGCCGCCTAGGTTGTGAGATTTCACACCTCTGGGCTTTTTCTTTTAGGCTACGTCAGCATAACGATGAGAGAGTCCATTGGATTATGAAATGGACTAATGTGCGATGGAAAATTGAAATACCGAAATGGGTCACATTAACACCAGTGATGACCAATATTTGAAATAGGTAAAAAAACGAATGCGATTGTTAATAAAGATTACTAGACTGTCTTTATTTTATTCTGTTTTAAAAAAATGCATCTGAATGAATCACCTACTAATAGTACCTATTATGAAGTAACCTCTTACTTCACGCATCAGCTAGTTTCAATGAAATACTGCAGATTTCTTATCTTTTCTCATTTTTATATTATTGATTATTTTATTTCATTGCACCAATAATATTCGAATTTTGTCAGATTCCACTCTTGCACGCAAACTTTCGATAACTTTTGCTATTACCCTGAGTCATTTTCGATATTTTTATTTCTTCAAAATATAAAAAATGGCGTCAAATAGAATGACTCTGCATTTCCACGCAATAATCCCGTCATCAGTACATGAAAGATTATCTTCAGCACAAGTTAGAGAAAAAAGTAAGTTGCGAACATGTATAAGAGAAGAATTTATCAAGTCAGTCAAATATTCCCATACAATTATTTTATAGATATTCTTTCCCTGACCTACCGGTAACCCCATCGATTTGGCAACGTCGCCCCCTTCCGATACCTGAGCGCAAGATGTGTCATAGCATATAAATGAACTAACATAACGCTCCCGCCAATTTTTTTTCAAATTTGATCAGGATCCCAACGTCAGAAAAACGAAATTTAAGCAATTTTCACGTTCTTCGTTCTTGACCTTTCTCTCCGCCTTAACTGGATCGATTGCCAAAAACAAAGCTTTTTGGTCCTTCGCATACTAGTAACCTTCTGTAAAAATTTTAGCGGATAGTCAAACAGACAGATAGACGGACAGACTGACACGGAAATGAGTGACCTGGTCTTTCGTGATGTTCATGTCATATAACATAAAAAAACGCCATATCTCTTCTCTAAATTTTTCGCAATTACTATACTTCCTCGCCAGTAGACAATTGTCATTGCAACACTTGTTGAACATTAAAATTCGAGCAAAAACTGTGTGTAATAACTTCCACGCCCTGCTCTTAGAAAGTTATCCTACGAAGACAAACCATATTAACTTTGGAATTCGATAATATTGAGCTTTTATTTTTTGAAATCCCTTTGCAATAGTAATATATTCTCACCTGCCATGGCACAGCCCCTGGAGGCGGCACCTCACCCCCTATAACCCGTGGTTCCCTGTCCGCCTTCCACTGCAACTCCCTGGCGCCACACTTTAACCCCGCACTGTCTCCTGTCCTGGAATCGAACGGGAACTTCGGGAAGCCCGAACCGTAGACGGCCATGGGCGCGAAACAAACGAACGACACTATAAACAAATGCATCGCGACGCCAGCGCGTTGGTGATGGAAGATCGCGGTGTGCTATGGCGATGGGTGGAGTCTGCAAAAAACCGAACGCGAGGTCTGTTTTTTATGGACGCGACCATGCCACCGGGTCCCACTACGGAATTTCGGACCACGTGGTATCAATGGAGGGAGAAGGGGTGGAGGGAAATGATCTATCAAAATTTTGTTCATTTGAAAAAAAAAATTGAAGGGTGTTTCCACATTTTTGCTTAGACCTTCGTTCTTTGTAAAATATTCTAGCTATTCCCAAGATTTCCAGCAAATTTACAAATTTTGATGCTGCTTACTTTCAGATAGGTTTCCCTATCATCCTCAGTTTTTAAGGACAAATGCGGATGCGTATGTCAATCTACCGACACATTTTATCATTACTTACATATTTTTACTGTATAATATCATTTTATACTGTGACAATCTTGACAGACACCAAAACAACTTTTTAATGATCATTTATTTCATTCTAAAAATAAACAAGATTAAATTTTTACATCAGGATGGTATAATTTAATTGCGGATATGCATTCTTTCTTCAGGCGCCACTGAATAATCTCCATAGAACTATAAATCGTCTAGAATACCATAACAGCAGATTTGAAATAAACACATTCTTGTTTTATGTACGTTTATACTTTTATATATGTTTTATCAAAAGACCAGAGTTTTCAAGTTTTCCATAATGATCTACCGAGTTGTGTATTCTATTTTTGTATATATATTTCTATGGATTTACAATAATCTTCAAATTGACACAGCGTCATTTTAGACTCCCTAATCAGGCTTTTCTATTTGTCATGAATTCCAATTATAGGGAGAACTTTTATCATTATATCTGCATATGGCTTCTTGCACTGCTCATTTTCACATAATTTTCAACAGTTCCCTGTCGGTTTTTTTTAACTCTGTAAAGAAATCTGGTCCTCTTTTTGATTTAGATTATTGAATTTGAATTTCTCCATTGTAGTACTCGTATTTACCTTTGAGAGGAGCTGTCCATTAAAACAAATGAGCACATTATACAATGTTGCTTCATTTTGGAACTTATTGAAAATATCAACCCCGCAGCAACAACGCAATTTTAATATTGTCAGGCTTTTTATGCTTCCTTGTAGCTTTTAGAAATAGAGTAAATATCTGCTGCATCCTGGGTCACTGGCTAACTGCTGCTATATCAGGAGGTGGTGGCGACCTGTACTCCATTTTGTTTAATGACTTACACAATTTTTCACCCGAAGGTCGTGATTCACAGCGTTTTCAACTGTACGGAAGGGCAGAATCCCTTGTTGGACGCCGAAATACTAAACGGTTGCCTATCTTTAAATAAAATAAGCTATTCAATGGTTTTATTGGAATACACATCAAAGCCGTATCTTCCAGAAAAGGTGACATTTTCTGGCTGTTTTGTTAGTCAGGATTGTTAAGAGCGTCAAAGCAAATATGGCGCACTGAGAATAACGAACCCTCAAGTTCAGGGGCGCTATTCATACGGCGTTTTTCTTATGTTAGAAATTATCTGGTTATAAAATCCGTCTTCCTTGATATTTCACAGCTCGCCTGTGCTGTGCAAAGTTACAAGTGGACTTCTAGTCTGTAGGTAGGTTTTAAATTCTTTGGAACATCGCTGGTGCAAGCAGCAAAATCCGATATCGACACTCGGCACGAGCATCTGATCGATCACTTTTCCCTTTAAAAACATAAAACGGAATATAAAATGCATTACTCTCCTTCTGTTATCAGCCGAATTCTCATGCCGAGCCACCAGGTACTCTCACTGAATACCATTAATTTTATCTTTACGTTCGTTTTTTTGTGAGTTTTTTCTTGCATGGAGCTGAGAGAAAATCAATTTCATTGTCACCTCACCCTGCGGCAGAATCTGCAGAAACCAATTGTAGATCACGAAATATTTTGCAATTTCTTCATTTCATAATGACAAAAGCTTTGAGAATGTTATTAGTTATAAAAGTACTAGGTACAAATATTTTTGATAGAACTGAAATTTTATATTTCAAGAGTAGTCAGTTTTAGTGATCCTACGATTTCATTTAATCGTTGTTTTGACAAAGACAAAACAAAATGCACTTATTGTTATCTTGCACTTACAATACTAAAAAAATCTCAGCATTGTAGAGTTCAGTCTGAGAATCACAAATTCCACTTATCATTTATTATTACTGGCCTAATCATTTTGTAACATGCCCAATTCCGCATATTTGCCAAATTTTTGATCGTATCAGATAATCATGAAATCGCCTGCGCCTGCGCCAAAATTAAAGATGTCCAGCCAGCGCAGCGCATCGACAAAGTTCACAAAGTAGGCCATGGCATGAAAGTGAGATGCCAAGGTGAGCGTAATCATAGCTGGCAATGCCAACTTGTCACAGCCACCTTTGATATCTATATGTGTCAGCAGCAACTTGCATCGGATGACATAACAGCAGCACCGCCGATATCGAAAAGTGCATCGGTTACGCGGCGACCGTTGATATCGTGTTCTCTGCGACGCAAAAAGGTTGAACCCAACCTCGGCCTACGTTGATTGTACGTTACCGCGTAATCTGCATCTCCCAAGGATGCGGCGGTTGTTTTACTATTCGGACTGTACAGTATACGATAATAGAGGAAAGTACCCAAAGCCGCATCCTTATTACGTAGCTTCAAAATGACAGGGATAAGGATCTGATCGATATGAGACCTAAATGCTCACTTGTAGTAGCTGTGTGTGCTGCCTAAACGTCAAGATACTTGAGACGTGTGCTATGGTTCCAATATGTTGTAAGATTTACCTAAAGAATCATAGCGTCCATGCCCTAAGTTGTAAGTTGGATATTATAAGGTCAATCATAGTATTTTGCTTCAAAAGCTTGAGTACATAGGCTTCAGGAACACTTATTTAGCTCTCTTAACATCTTATCTTTGTGGAAGGGAACAGTATGTTTTTATAATGGCTGCATATCACATGTTTATGTTTCAACTAGTGGTGTTCCACAGGGGTCGAATTTAAGACCGCTGTTATTTATAGTGTTCGTTAATGATATGTTTGAATCTTTGAATGGTTCTAAGTTAATGTTCGCAGATGACCTGAAATTGTATTCATCCGTTTCTTGCTTGGAAGACTGTGTATTTGTTCAAGGTCAAATAAATATATTACAAAGCTGGAGCATCAATAATCAACTCCATCTTAACATAAGTAAATGCAAAGTAGTAACCTTTTCTAAAAAGACCAACCCCTTGGTATATAATTATACAATAGATGAATGTGCGTAGTGAAACTGTAAAAAACATAAGGCCACTTTGATCAACAATTAACTTTCAGTGAACATATTATTCAAACTATCACAAGCGCTTATCGAACCTAAGGCTTTGTTATCAGGAATTCTAAAAATTTTAACTCTTCGACTTTACAGACTTTATACTTCAGCTTCGTTAGGTCTAAACTCGAATATGGATCTCTGATATGGAGTCCGATTTACAAGCAATATATTGATGCTCTTGATAAGCTTCAAAAGAAATTTTTAAATGTCTTATGTTTTAGGATCGATGGCATGTATCCTACTAGAGGTATAGAATACAATATTTTCCTGTATAAGTTTGGCTTTCAGTCCTTAGAACAGCGCCGTAAGCACTCGGCAGCTATAATTTTATACAAATTGTTGCATAGTCTGATTGAATGTCCTTCAATACTTTCTCAAATACAATTTCTGGTATCACGAATAGCTTATGCCAAATAGCACAAACGAAGTTACTATTTACTCTCAGAAGCGCTTATAAACATGATGTGTGTGAATGCTAATAAAATAGCCGATGTATGCGACATATTTTTTTGTAGCTTAGGTGTACTGAAGTGTAAACTGCGAGCTCACTAGTGATTCTTCTTACCTCTCTTACTGTTTAGCTATAGCTATATATTTTTTTGTCTTGATTTACGGAATTTGTATTTTTTCCAAAATACCTCATCGTGATTTCTTATTTTTAGTAGATTGCTCTGTAAATGGTGTTAAACTGTTGTATACAGTAAACGCTTATTATTATTATTATTATTATTATTATTATTATTATTATTATTATTATTATTATTATTCTGTATTTCACTCCTAGAGGAAGGGATGAGCTTGACCGGAACTCTGCCTGAGTTCTAAGGTCTTTAGTCGGAAAGGGTTTTCCGCAAGATGTGGGCTGTTCCTAGCAGTGCTATCTTTTGAACTTGTGTTGCAAAAACATCTCCGGGGAGTTCTTTTATGTTGTTCTTGAATGACATAGTGGCAGTCCCCAAAGCTGCGATGATCACGGGTACCGTTCTTGTCTTTGTCTTCCACATGCGCGATATTTCGATTTCGAGGTCTTTGTATTTTCTGGCCTTTTCCGCTTCTTTGGTGTTGACGTTGTTGTCGTCTGGTACAGATACCTCAATTAGCAGGCATGTGTTCTGTGTTTTATTATGGTAAATAATATCAGGTCGGTTGGCGGAAATCGTACGGTCGGTAATGACCATTGTCGTACATAATTAATGCTTCGTCTGTCTCTACTGCTGCTTCAGGAGAATGATCATACCAGTTGTTGATAACTGGTACTTGGTGCTGCTTGAGGATAGCCCAGTGTATGTATTTAGCGACGTTGTTGTGCCTTTCGGTGTATTCTGTTGGTGCCAGTGTTGAGCAGCCTGAAATAATGTGGCTTATATGTTCCTCACATTGATGGCATATTCTGCATTTGCTGTCGACATTGTGTTTCAGGACCATTCTTCTATGGTAGCGCGTGTTAAGGGCCTGGTCCTGTGCAGCAATCAGTAGACTTTCAGTCTCCGCCTTCAGTCCTGTACTTTTCATCCAATCCAGGGACATGTGTTTATATACATTGGTTTTGTGTAGGTTATTGTAGAACTGTCCATGGAGTGGTTTCGATTTTAGGGCGTTGACTTTTTCTGTTCGCATGGTCTCCTTTACTCTGAGTTTCAAGTTGTCCGCTGACTGATCTTCGTTCAATTGGTAAGCATATTGGCTTTTCATGGCTTCCCCGATCTTTGTAATGGAGTATCCCTTTTGTTGCTC